TACACATACATAAGTATAAACTCGAGCTAGCGAAGTGGCCAAATATTACTTTCTGATCCATACAAGCAACAACACTAGAACATACGTACATATTTCCATATCATCATTAGCTAGTACTACAACAAAACACCACCACCATACACCACTTGAGCATGCAAATGGTACAACACCCACTATACAGGGAAACATAAGTCGGTTCAAATAATGGTGTTTCCTAGGTAAAAAAAATGATGTTTCCTTTCCCGCCAAAAGCAGCCTTCTGAGAGAGTTACCACTCATGACGGAAACAGGACCAAGCAACGGTAACATTCATACTACAGAAGCCAAGGCAGAGCTCGCTGAGGCTAACACCAGACCTCTTTGCCTTAAAAGTTGCCCTGCCACTCTCAACAACTTGTTTCTCATCAACCCGATTGGCAGCGACATAAACGTTCAGAGACTCCACATGTCCAACAGAAACCACATGACGCGAGAGCTTGATCCTGCCATTGGCATCTACGGGCAACCCGTCATCTCCGGAATCAAGTAACTTGACTTTCAGGTCATCACGAGAACCGCTGCTGGCAGTGATCACGCCCCGGAAACTAGTTGGCCATGACCCATCAGTTAGTTTTACACAGATTGTAGCCTCCACGGAGCGGGTAACATGGTCGAAGGTAAGTTCCAATGTGCTGAGCCTACTACGGTAAAGACCGCTCAGAAAACGCCCGGTTCTGTGCACCAAAACAAGATCGCTCAGGTCTTTATCCTCGGCTTTAGTGGGGCCCTTGACTTTCAGGGAAACCTCAACGTAAGAAGGGTCCACCGACACGGCAATAGCTCGGCTAGGGCCGGTCAATGCAAGATATGGATCCTGCATGAGTGGAACAACAATGTACGTGAGTAATTATGCTCTATTTCATCAATAGTAAGACTGCATCAAGTGGATATAGTGCAACAGCCAACCTAATGTATTCCATATATATGAGAGCAAACAATTGATAGAGAAGGCAACTTGGAAAGGAAAACGGAGGGGTAAGAACATACAAACCTCTTCAGTGATGGTTTGACAGTTATTTCTCGAACGGTGAAAAATAATGTTGCGCATGTGATCCAAGTTGTCGCGAGCAGCAACGAGACCAAACACTTGCAGTGGCCAGCGTAAGCCCTCTTTGATTGCCGCGATCTTGACCGACACCATCTGCAGAGTCTCCATGGCCTTGGGGCTGTCATCAGGAGCAGGATACGTGTAACGCATGGCGGGGATAGATGCTGCATTGATCCATTAATACCAAGTTAATGAAAGAACGAAATAAGATTTATTTAAAAATACATATACTAGCTTTGTTCCATTTGATGTAGTTTCTATAGATTTTTTTTTAAATACAAACTTTGTGAAAAGCTATAGAGAAATTCTGGAACGGAGGCAGGGAAGAAGAACGAGCTCTTACTGGTTTGAAGGAAGGTGCGGGAGCGACGGACGCTGCGGAAGGCGTACGATTTGTTCCAGTAACGGCGGAACCTGGAGGCGAACAGCTCCTCGTCGCACTGCGCCCACTCGGATTCCTGGTCCTCTAGCCGGCCCATCTCTCTCGCCGCTTCCCTCGCCTTGGCGGCTTCTTCGGCCATGACCCTGGCCGTCTCGGCGGCTTGTTCCGCCTCCACGGCTTTGGCGGCGGCCGTCTCGGCAGCTTCTTCGGCCTCTCGGGCTTTTGCTTCGGCTGTCCTGGCGGCTTGGACGGCCTCCCAGTTAGCTGCGACCGCGGCCAGAGGGGCGTTCGCCCTCGCCGTCTTGGTTGCCTCCGCGGCCTTGGCCCTGGCGGCCTTCGCCCTGGATCTCTTAGCCGTAGCCATCGCCGCAGCAGCTAGCTAGCGGCTTGCAGGCCGGATCGTCGGGCGAAAACAATCTAGTCTACAGTAGCTTCGATAGACTTTTTCTCAAGCCGTGAACTGGTGCACGCATGTATTTATAGCAGAACGTACGGGGCCGCTTGTGGGTTTCGTTTTAAATCCGACTCGGACGCCGAGTGCGTAAAGAAGTCCCGGGTCCGACGAATTGAGCAAAGACCAAGCAAACTCGGAATTCCTCCTATGTCCCGCCCCACCCCCAATGGCGTCTACCACGGCCCAATGCGGCTACGGTTCAAATTTGGACTGAGTTTGTGTTCGGACGGACATGCCGCGGACGCATGCGGCTTCCTTCACTTGTCCTCCTCTGGCCCACCTGTCGGTGGCATACAAATCAGTCCTGGCACTCAGAAGTGAAGTAGCAGTTGGCCACAACAAAGCTAACATCAGCCTGGCACTCAACATTCAGCTCACACGTACCGAAACGGGACAAACTAATCAGCACAAAAGCCTGCAGATGCCGACGCCACGTCGACGATTGCAAACAGGCGTACACACACATAAGTAGAGGGCTTGAAACTATCATGGAAACTAGAGCACTTCTTCTACAGGGGCTGCAAACGCTCCAGTCACTCCGCCAAGCCGGACGCGTCCCCCGTCACCGCCTGCAACTCCGGTCCTGCCTCGCCACCACGTCGCGAGGTTGAACAGCGCCCGGAGAGCCGCCACTGTGATGTCAGGGAGCTGCCCTTGGAACATGGCCACAAATTTGTCAATGGCTTCCTCTGTGACTTGCTGGCCTTCATCCACGGTGCCCATGCGCTGGCATAGCAGCTTCTCCGCCATCTTCGCAATCGGCATCTTTCTCCCCTTGGCTTGGAGACGCGGGCTGGAGCGAGCAAGGTTGAAGCCTACGACCCCAACCAGCGTCTTCCTTCTCCTTGTCGGTGGTCTTGGCCTTGGGGAGGGCGAGCTTGGTGCAGCGAGCAGGGGTGACCGGCAGGCCACAAACAGGGGTGGCCGGCATTGCCAGCAACCGGGCTGACCGCCGGGACAAAGATCGGGGTGGCCGGCTCAGCTTCAGCTTCGGAGGAAGGAGATGGAGCAGCAGCTCCACTGTCTTGCACTGCAGGAGAGGACGGGATGATCTCGATGATGTCCAGGGTCGTGGTACGGGGAGGTGTTGGCGTCTGTGGAGCCAGAGCAGGGCACACAGCCGCCTGTCGTTGCTTGGCGCCAAAATAGGGAGTGATCCACTGCAGCCAAGAGTCCTCGCCTATCACGGAGGTGAGCTGAATCACGTCACAGGAGGTCGATCGTGGCAAGGAAGGGGACGAGCGGCCCCGGGTGTCTTCGTTGACCGGGCTAGCAACCTCTCCAGAGCGCCCAAGGCGTGTCGGGCAGTCTGCAGGGCGGTGACGGCCACGCCTACCAGAGGCTGGGATGACGGCGCCGTCCGGTAGGCGCTGGACTAGCTTGCTGTCGATGGAGCGTGCGTCAGGGGCCTCGTGACGGCGACGTCGCCCGTCGCAGCCAATTTTTGCAGTGGGCAAAACTATTCCATGGATGCAGGTATAGGCTAGCAGACTATGGTATCAAGACTGAATGTGCTGGAAGATAAGAACGGAACAACACATTACCTTGCGGAAGTCACCGGTTACATGGGCAACGACGCCCTCCTCGAGCGAGGACTTGCAGCGCTCATTGTAGGCGTGCCTGATAGCGAAGAGCTTCCCAGACCCGCGCGCTGACCTTGACTGGCCGAAGCTGGTTCTGAACACTTCTAACTAAAAAAAAAATATTGTCGACAAAGAATATGAACAGAGAAAATAAATGATAAAGGGCACCAGGAATATCTAAGAAATATGTAGCTATTTTGTATGTGAATATTTTTTTAGGTGGTTAAGGATTAAACCGATGCTTTGCTTGCAGATGGTATGCGACTGACATCAATGTGGCCCGTTGCAGGTAAACAAGATTCGCTAGGACACAATAAAAGGATAACATATATAAGGTGATAGAACTGAGACATGCATTGAAAAGAACCAAGATCCAATGGAAACCATTTTCCCCAGCCAGCGCTCTAATTTTTTTCTCAACTGTTTCCTCTACTCTTACAGTACTTGCTGAGGATCCTAGTAGAATTTACTGGGATCCCTAAATAAGTGAGTGGAGGAATGGCAACTTTGCAAGTAAAAATATCTCTACAATGACTTTGTTTATCAACAGATTGGCCAAAACAAAAAACTTCACATTTGTGGAAGTTGTTCGAAGGCCAGACAGTTGTTCAAACAGAGAGCTGTCTCTTCTCAAGAGTGTAACCAAATGAGCATCATCTTTATGAAGGCTTCATGGTAAAGTTGGTGCTGTTCTACGGGATCACAATGGTAAATTCATTGCCGCAGCGAATGAAAGACTGAACTTTTGTTATGACACGTTTTCTGCTGAAGCAATTGCCGTGAGATTTGGGCTAAATTTGGCACAAACCGTGTGCTGTAGCAAAATTGAGGTGGTCTCCGATAACGAAGAGGTTGTCAATGCTCTGAAGGAGGGAGGTTCCAGCTCAGTGGCAAGTGCCATTTTCGATGATTGTTATTACATGTCTTTAGATTTTAATCATGTTTTGTTTGATTCTTGTAACAGAGATAGTAATCAGGTTACCCATGAGATTGCCAAGTTGGCCAAGTTCTCTCCTAGTATCTGGATGGATTCACCTTCAGAGGTGATGAGCATCATCTTTATGAAGGCTCGACAACAACAGACATAATTGTACAGAGGTACTTCGAGTGAAGAATTGTTTTTGTTCTCTTTGCAAAAACAAATAAGCAGTAGGATAAAGAGTTAATTGACCTTGGTCAAACGTGTCTGACATTGTGATGCATGCATATGAATTTTTACTCTGATGCTGGCAGCAGAAAGTCACGAAAATAGGAGTAAGTTCCAACTGTGTCACGAACAATGAGAAAAGGTAGTGTGCTCAAGTGAACACCAGCAAATGACAGGGGCATATATTTAGAACTTTAGTCTTTGAAATATGCAAAACTGCTAGCTGGAAGTATATAGCAATAAGTCAACACAACTACTGGAGACGACAGACGCCAAAAGGGCATGGATAAAAACTCGCAGTGAAATCGAAACTACTGCTACTTCTAGGAGGAACCGAAATCTAGCCTTCAGTTGACACGCTGCCTCTTCTGGGGAACACCCTTGGACTGCTGGGGATTCAACTGCCGTTTTGCTTTCTCCCTCCGCTGCTGCCTCTCGTCTTCGCTGTCGTCTTCGCTGCCCATCTCCATGTCGGCATCCCTCGCCTTGCGCTCCATCTCATCCCATGACTCGGCAGCGTCGTCGTCGTCATCTGAGCCAGCCGAGACAGCCTCATCCTCGCCAGAATCCACCACTGATTCGCTGTCGCTGTCTTCATCATCCGAATCAGAGGCTGACTCCGCATCAGAAGGTTCGTACTTATCATCGTCTGTCTCGGAATCCTCTGAATCTGAGTCAGTAGCATCTGGATTCAAGAATTCCCACCTGTCATTTGTGTCACAACCTGGCTCGTCCAGCTTCTTGAGGACCATTCGCCAGTTAAGGTTCAGCTTCGATTCATAGTACTTCAAGTTGCAGTCATTAAGCCAATCTTTGATCTTATCAAGAGATGCCATTGGAATGACCTCTATGCGGACAACATCTCGCTTTAAATCTTGAAATACAAACACCATGTCAAAGGATTTCTGCCCCAGGGCCACCCTTTCCAAGCATACTATCTCGACCTCCCTCAGCGAAGTCACAAGAAACGGTGATTCAACAAGCTGCACCAGGCAACTTGGAGTAGGAACTATAAAACAAGTTGTTCTGCCATGGACTCCATTGAAGCCAAGCTTCTGTGATGGCCTTCCAAAATGTAAGCCGAGCTGCTGAAATCTTGGCTGGGACCAAACAGAAACAACCCTTTTCACAAACAGCTCAAACTGTCCATTTATTTTCTTCCTTCGTGCCCTGTCGCGCTGCTCTTCCTCAATCTCATCAGGATCCCGTGCTGAACAGCGCTTAAGACCTCCAACCGAGTCCACAACATCCATCACTTCAGTGTAGAACTGCACATCTCTAGTCTTCTTGTTGCCCACCATGATTTCATTGTACAGATGGAAGTGGAGCAGCGTTATCATGTCTCTCTCAGCTGGCTGGAAGAAGGCATGTTTTATGTTGCTGAACATAATATCCACCTTTTCAGTTTTCGATGCAGAATATTGAAAACTATTGACATGGGCCACCAAAGTTCCAGCGACCTTCCGCCCACAGCCACCAAATGATGGCCGTATCCACAAATCAGGAAACTGAATCCATCCCTCTTCATTCCGTCACATAGTTGAAGCCTTTCCTGACTAACCAAGCTCGCTCTCCTAGCTCTTTCAGTGACTCCTTTTTGAACAGTCTTCACCGATTTAATAACCTCTTCAGCATGACTTCTGTTTTTTGAGAGGAAGGTGACTGCTTTCAAAAAAATAAGGTTCTGCAAGCGGGGATCTTGAAGACCAGAAGCAGTGCCAGGAACATTAAATGTAATGCTGACATAAACTCCACTGCTGCTTTCCCCACGAATTTCTGCTTTTCTTATGGTACAAACATGAAAGGGAACAGTAACTCCATATATTGGTAACAGGATAGCCTCATTCTGTTTGTCCACCTGAATAATGTCCAGTCGATTGGAAACAGGCACATCATTTGCATTCTTATATGCAACCAGTTCATCCATAGCTCTGGAACGACCAAGTCCCTCCAACAACTTATGATCAGCAACGTCACTTCTCACTGCTGCCTCACTAGTTTTCTTCTTTAAGATTTCTGACTGAAGCTGTTTCCTAAGGTCCTCCTTAGGTGTCCTGCTATGGGATCGCAGATTTTCTCTCAATGGATTTAGCACTGGTTTAACCGGGACCAAAACATTTGCTTTCGGAGCTTGTTTCACAGCAGCTAATCCTGCATTTTCCTCATCAAATAAGTAGAAGGCATCGCTGTCAGCCTTGGAGATAAAAGATGTCAAGACTTTTGGATTTTCCTTGCAGACCAGAACAGTGTCAGCCAGCCATAGGGAGAATTCCTTGGTCTTCTCATTGTTGGTCTTGTCTATAAGGTTTTGAAACCCAAGTGAAACATTGAAAATCATCCCTTCCTTTAGCGTCCGGTCATTTTTCTCACTCAAGGACAGCCAAGATTCACGGAACTCGATGCCCATTCCTGTTCCAGCTGACTTGGTAAGGAAAGGAATTAGTTCAGGAGCTTTGTCCCTGATCACAGTAACTGCAGCCTGGTAACTGGAACAACACTTGCTACCTGGTGTCAAAGCAGCAATAGCAGCATCATGCGCCTGACTGAGGACTTTATATGCATTGCATTTTTCTGCATTACAATCAATCAGGAAGGTTCTTGCGACATTTGAGCAGTAGCCACTGTACTTGGCTCCCAGAGCACAGATGATGACGCTTCCAGAATCATAGTGCAGATCATCATCATTGCTAGAAGCAGATGGCCTAAGGTCATACTTGCCTCCACTTTGAAAAACGGGTGGGTAGCATATGTCAACATTATCTGCCTTCAGTTTAACATCTACATTCATTGGGGAAAGTAGTATCTTCTCTGTCAGAACCATCAGCTTTGAATGTGCTATCTTCTTTTCATCCTCTATGATCTTCTCCACCTTAGAAACTACATACTTCCGCATAACCGAAGCAGCCAAAAATGCAGCCTTCTTCACATACATAATCTCGGTGACATCTTTCACAGCAAGAAGTTCAGAGATGCCACTTGACACATCAAAAAGCTTTAACCTTGATCTGTGCAGCTTTTCAGACCATGCTTCAAGAAACTTGCCTTCAGGCATTAAGTCAGATCCATCATCGCCCTTTTTCAGAATATGCAACACGATATCAACATCGGCTTCTTTAGAAACAAGCATCTTCAAAGGTTTAAGCACATCACTGTCCTTCTGGCTGCACAGGAAATGAATCTGCCTACTGAGAAAGACCATTATAGTTTATGGGAACTGATGACCAAAAAACCACGTGCTCAAGGCTAATGATTTCTGATATCGAATATCTTCAGAGGGTGGAGGAGTAGCAACAGCAATTGCACACGAAGATCCCCATATCTCAGTCCCATCCTCCTTCCAGTGCCGATAAAACTTCATCATACATTTGATGAAGTTTTCTGGACTGACTGCAGGAGAAGACCCAGTAACAGAAGCCGGTGTTCTATCCAATGCTTCAATAATAGCCATTTAATAACCAAAATACCTTCAAAAACAAGATGTGAGTACAGTATGAACCAAAAAATCATTAAGAACGGAGCAGGTTAGTAAGCTACGAGAACAGTACACAATATATGGAAATTTGCAAGCATACAATGTCAATCAGCATTCTTAGTGATCTACTTGTATTTTGTTCTAGCAGTTTAAATTTCTGACAACTTTATCATCCAATTGGTACAAAGCTGGGCTATGCTACAGTAAGACCATCTTACTATGATTATCCCACAGAAAAGGAAGCAACAAGTAGATTTTCAATCAGTATTCTTAGTCATCAACTTGTATTTTGTTCTAGAACTTTAAATTTCTGACAACGTTACCAACCAATAGGTACAAAGCTGGGCTATGCTGCATTTTTTAAATTGCTATAAGTATTTATATATAACTCAATGGAAGATCCTAAGCATTCAGTACGAAATCAAATTCATAATAAGCACTGAAAATTAACTAGAGCTAGCTACAGAAACATATCATGATAGATTTAGATGGAATAAATTTTTGTTGTTTCTAAGTATCTTAATCATAGGTTTTCAAAAACGTTTTAGTTTTCTTGACATACCACAGGTACCAAATTTGTTGTGATTATTTTACAGATCTCAACTCAAATTGGCTATCCGGATTAATTTTGACAATGAATAGATTAATCAACTGCAAGAGATAAGCTTTCACAGTTTTCCTAAATTAAGATTGAAGATTATAATCGACAGATTAGTTTAGTCTAGGTATTCTCAGATTCTTTTAGTCTCAAGCTAACTCCAATTTCTTGTTAAACAATATCAGATTAGATGCATCTTACAGTGTTTTTTCTTCAAATCTAAAAAAATGGTTTGCAACGAAAAAGTTAACCACCTAAATTCATAAATTATGGCAGCAAGCATGTGGAATCAGAAAGAAAATTTAGATGGAATCAATTTCCGTTTTTTAGATTTCTTGACATACCACAGGTACCAAATTTGTTGTGATTGTTCTACAGATCGCAACTCTAATTGGTTATTCGGAGTAATTTCGGCAAAGAATAGATTGATCAACTGCTAGAGATAAGCTTTCACAGTTTTCATAAATTAAGATTGAAGATTATAATCGACAGATTAGTTTAGTCTAGGTATTCTCAGTATCGTTTAGTCTCAAGCCAACTCCAATTTCTTGTTAAACAATATCAGATTAGATGCAGATTACAGTGTTCTTTCTTCAAATCTAAACAATTTGGTTTGCAACGAAAAAGTGGAACCACCTAATTCATAAATTATAGAAGCAAGTATGTGGAATCAGAAAGAAAATTTAGATGGAATCAATTTTTGGTTTTAGATTTCTTGACATAGCAGAGGTACCAAATTTGTTGCGATTGTTCTACAGATCGCAACTCTAATAGGTTATTCGGAGTAATTTCGGCAAAGAATAGATTGATCAACTGCTAGAGATAAGCTTTCACAGTTTTCATAAATTAAGATTGAAGATTATAATCGACAGATTAGTTTAGTCTAGGTATTCTCAGTATCGTTTAGTCTCAAGCCAACTCCAATTTCTTGTTAAACAATATCAGATTAGATGCAGATTACAGTGTTCTTTCTTCAAATCTAAACAATTTGGTTTGCAACGAAAAAGTGGAACCACCTAATTCATAAATTATAGAAGCAAGTATGTGGAATCAGAAAGAAAATTTAGATGGAATCAATTTTTGTTTTTTAGATTTCTTGACATAGAACAGGTACCAAATTTGTTGTGATTGTTCTACAGATCGCAACTCTAATTGGTTATTCGGAGTAATTTCGGCAAAGAATAGATTGATCAACTGCTAGAGATAAGCTTTCACAGTTTTCATAAATTAAGATTGAAGATTATAATCGACAGATTAGTTTAGTCTAGGTATTCTCAGTATCGTTTAGTCTCAAGCCAACTCCAATTTCTTGTTAAACAATATCAGATTAGATGCAGATTACAGTGTTCTTTCTTCAAATCTAAACAATTTGGTTTGCAACGAAAAAGTGGAACCACCTAATTCATAAATTATAGAAGCAAGTATGTGGAATCAGAAAGAAAATTTACATGGAATCAATTTTTGGTTTTAGATTTCTTGACATAGAACAGGTACCAAATTTGTTGTGATTGTTCTACAGATCGCAACTCTAATTGGTTATTCTGATTAATTTCGGCAAAAAAATAGATCAATCAAGTGCTGGAAGATATGATTCTTTCAACGTTTCATAAATTTAGATTGAAGATTATATCGGCGGATAACAGATTAGTTTAGTTTAGCTATTTTTCAGATTCGTTTAGTCTCGAGCCAACTCGAGATCTCTTGTTATGCTATTTTTACACCGGAATTCGCAAGCATTGAGGCACCAATTCGATAAGAACAATCCTAAATTCACGAACAGCAATGAAGAATCGACATGATCAAGCACAAGAAACGCGGAAGAAATTTACCTAGGACGATCCGTCGAGTTTGTTCGCAGAATCAGGGACCTCCGGCAGCCAATGCTAGCGGGGAAAGCCGCCAACGAAAGCCTCCGATCTCGGCGTTTCTTGGAACCGCACCGCCTCTTCGCAGAACCGCAGCGACTGCCTCGATCGCAATAGGGGAAGCGCCTGGGCGCGGGCGGGCGCGCGCCCAGGGGCTTATATAGCCCCCAGCCCGCACCGACCAGGATACGAGCGTGCCCGAGGCGGCGCGTGGTGGGCCCGGCCGGGCCGTCGAGGCGGGCGACGGAGCGGACCCCGGCCGAGACTGCGCGTGAGCCAGCGGCGGGGCCTGGGTTGTCCGGGCGCGTGCCGGCGGTCGGCGTCGGCATGGCGGCGGGTAGGGCGGGCTGCCGGAGTGGAGGCGCCGGGGCGGGGGAGGAGAGCCGTGCGAGAGGAGGGAAGGGTGGTCCTGAATCAGCGGAGTTTCGTTTTGGTTCAGTTTCCCTCTCTAGTCGGCATCGGGTCGGTGGGTGTTCTTTGTCCAAACCTGTCCAGATGGGTAGGCCTAAATAAATGTTATTTGGTGTTTGCGTTGAGCATAAATATGATTAGATCATGTTTATTGCAATACAGTTATTCATGTAAGTTAAAGAATAATTGTTGTTCTGTTTACATGAATAAATCCTTCTATGGTCATACACCCAATGAAAATGGTTTGTTGGATCTCGATCGTGGTGATACACATTTTCATAATATTGAAACCAAAAAATGTAAAGTTAATAATGATAGTGCAACTTATTTATGGCACTGCCGTTTAGGTCATATTGGTGTAAAGCGCATGAAGAAAATCCATGCCGATGGGCTTTTGGAATCACTTGATTATGAATCAGTTGATGCTTGCGAACCATGCCTCATGGGCAAGATGACTAAGACTCCGTTCTCCAGAACAATGGAGCGAGCAACAGATTTGTTGGAAATCATACATACTGATGTATGTGGTCCGATGAATATTGAGGCTCGCGGCAGGTATCATTACTTTCTGATCTTCACGGATGATTTGAGCAGATATGAGTATATCTACTTTATGAAACACAAGTCTGAAACATTTGAAAAGTTCAAAGTATTTTATAGTAAAGTGAAAAATCATCGTAACAAGAAAATAAAAGTTTCTATGATATGATCGCAGAAGTAAAATATTTGAGTTAACGAGTTTGGCCTTTAGTTAAAACAATGTGAAATAGTTTCACTACTCACCGCCACCTGGAACACCACAGTGTAATGGTGTGTCCGAACGTCATAACCATACTTTATTAGATATAGTGCGATCTATGATGTCTCTTACCGATTACCACTATCGTTTTGGGGTTATGCATTAGAGACAGCTACATTCACGTTAAATAGGGCACCATCTAAATCTGTTGAGACGACACCGTATGAACTGTGGTTTGGCGAGAAACCTAAGCTGTCGTTTCTTAAAGTTTGGGAATGCGATGCTTATGTGAAAAAGTTTCAACATGATAAGCTCGAACCCAAATCGGAGAAGTAAATCTTCATAGGATACCCAAAAGAAAATGTTGGGTACACCTTCTATCACAGATCCGAAGGCAAGATATTCATTGTTGAGAATGGATCCTTTCTAGAGAAGGAGTTTCTCTCGAAAGAAGTGAGTGGGAGGAAAGTAGAACTTGATGAGGTAACTGTACCTGCTCCCTTATTGGAAAATAGTTCATCACAGAAATCTGTTCCTGTGACTACTACACCAATTAGTGAGGAAGCTAATGATGATGATCATGTAACTTCAGATCAAGTTACTACCGAACCTCGTAGGTAAACCAGAGTGAGATCCGCACTAGAGTGGTACGGTAATCCTGTTCTAGAGGTCATGTTACTTGATCATGACGAACCTACGAACTATGAGGAAGCGATGATGAGCCCAGATTCCGTGAAATGGCTTGAGGCCATGAAATCTGAGATGAGATCCATGTATGAGAGCAAAGTATGGACTTTGATTGACTTGCCCAATGATCGGTGAGCCATTGAGATTAAATGGATCTTCAAGAGGAAGACGGACGCTGATAGTAGTGTTACCATCTACAAAGCTAGAATTGTCACAAAAAGGTTTTCGACAAGTTCAAAGTGTTGACTACGATGAGAGTTTCTCACTTGTATCTATGTTTAAGTCTGTCCGAATCATGTTAGCAATTGCCGCCTTTTATGATTATGAAATTTGGCAGATGGATGTCAAAACTGCATTCCTGAATGGATTTCTGGAAGAAGAGTTGTATATGATGCAACCGGAAGGTTTTGTCGATCCAAAGGGAGCT